TTGTTCCGACGTTTTCGGAGACGTCTGCTCCCGCTGGATTAACACCCAGCTCCCCTCGCCTGCTTGTCCAGGATTATATTCCATGGGAGAACACCCGACAGTTTTAATGTTCGTTTAACCACCCGCCACCCCGTGCTACACCTGCTTGGCTAGCTTTAGCTGCTAACAAAAACAATAAACCAAGGGTGCTCACATTCAGTCCTCCAGAGCTACCGTCCTGCAACTTTTCGATGCATCTTTACTCCAACAGACCAGGATCAGCTCCGAACAGACCTGCTAACCAGCCATTCATTTGATTCAGGTGTGTTAATTGGAGCAGGGAAGCATCTGAAAGTTGCAGGATAGCAGCTCTCAAGGACTGGACTTGAGCTCCCCTGTACTGAACAGTCGTACCGCGATATCCAAACAAATAAACTTACATTAAGGATGAGTTGATACTCTTGCGCAAACAGAAAGTTATAAATCATAAAAAAAATAATCAAAATCAAAACATATGATGATCTTAACATGGAACTTATCTTGTTTTGTTTTGTTTTTTTAAATAGATCTTTATTGAGATACAGAATATATAACAGTATAAACGCAGCATACATTGTTGTATAATGTCCGCCAGCGAGTTACAAACATTGAGACAACACATCACCATTACATTACATAAATACAGAGAAAGAACAAAAAGAGCATGTTTTAATAGCTTTGGGGAACTTACCTTGTTATGATAAGATCCAGACAAGACGCCATACTGCTGTCTCCCGGGCAAACACGTGACGTCACAGATACGTTGCGATTGTGGGAGCAACTCTTTGTCAAACACCGTCTCTTTAGGGAAACTGACAAACCTATCTTTGAATTTGACTAAAGTGTTTAACTAACATTGTATTTTTAACATTCAACACCAACACTGGTAATCTAACACTTTTGATTATGCTCTGTAGATTTTGATTCATTCCCTAAAGGATTTATTATGGAAAGTATTTTTTTCTTTCCATTTAATATTGTCTTTAAATGCTGGTACAAGTAAAATATTTTGCCTAGTAAAAAAAAAACCTGTATTGTACAATTAATTATTTTACGGTAGTTTACTGCCTGTCGTCAGTCTTGATTGTGACAACAGAAGAAGACATCAAATTGACAATATCCTACCGTATTTTGGAATAACAGTATGTTACTGCTGGAATTCCACCGTAAATTTACAGCCATTTCTAAGAGTGTGAGGATTTCTGCAGCTCCTCCAGAGTAACCATTGGGCCTTTTGGCTTAAACATCTCTGCTTAGATGCATTGCCATGTTTCAGTATGTTTGCAGTTATGCCATAATCTGTCCACCTCCAAATTCTGGGTTGAGCAGAGCTCTGGGAGATGTTGAGATGTTGGAATATTGTTTTAGATACCTAACCCTATTTTTTTAACATTTCCGCAACTTTTCCCCTGCTGTGACCCTTTGGCCTCTGCTTTTTTCTTTTTTTTTCACTAATGTTCCCTTTATATGAAATTTGAAGGCCCTCAATTATATTAATGGAAGAAAGAAAAAAAGGGGACTCAATTCAGGTCACACTTATTTTCTTTAAGTAGGGGAAAAAAACTAAAAGAAAACACATTTATCCACTGCATTGTTTTTATCTGTTCCATAAAAGTCTAATAAAAAATAGTTTGATGCTTTTTTGGTTATACCAAAACATTTACACTTTGTTTGCAATGTGACAAAATGTGAAAACATTGAACACTTTTAAAAGGCCCTGAAAATAAAAGGCTACTTTTCTGCTTTAAGCCATATCTAAAGCAGTACAACCATGTTTACAGCCAGAAAATATTTCCCATTAGCTTTCTGAGCGATTAAAAAGCTTCCATGTTTAAAGGAGATCAATTAACATCAATTAGTTTCCATTAAAATCAAGGTGTTTGTTGTTGCTTTAAATCATTAAAGTGGGGTATTTTACATGCAGTTTGTCTGAACAGACGGCGGCAACAAAGGCTGACGTTTTGGAAAAACTGTATCTTATATACACACGGATGGGCAGAAATGATAGTGGGTGCAGTGGGATAACTTTATCTCAGCATGGCGGTGAGTTGCAAGAGAGTGAAATGCCTGGGGAGAGAAGGATTATAGATTGAAAGAGGGGTGTGATGTTGAAACTGCACACTGAGAGAGGAGACACCTCACCCACAAAGAGAAATCACACATGTGCAAACGCTGCTTTACTAGTTGTATTAACAAATAAATACAAATCTACCTCTTACTCTGAGACACATGCATAATTAAATACACAAGCTTTCTCTCAGAGCCCTCTTCGACCCCACTGGGTCTGTATCTCTTTTAAGTCGGAGCAGAGGAGAGCGCTCCGTTGACCTGCTCTTTTGTCTCCGCTCTCTCGGCTTTGCTTCATCTTTTCTTCATTCTCATCCACTGACTTTTGTTTGACTAAATGTTGTTCCATTTGCAAACCAGTTACCGTCGCAAACACAGCCAGAAAGCACAAGCGGCAGAATTTCTCATCTCTTTGTTGTACTCGAATCTGGTATGTTTTTCAGCACACTTTGAACCGTACGTTCCTGCTCGTGGAGGACATTTTGTGAAATCTGTGTTAGCGTGACGGAGAACAGATAACCTGCACAGTGCAGTGGGCACATTGGTGTTTAATCAAGACTAATTATTTTATCAATGTACTCTGGTTAGATACAGGCATTTTGGGTTCTTTGTGGATAAATATCTCCTGTTTGTCTCAAGGAGATTTTCAAACACTTGTAAATGTAGAAACTCCAGCAGTAAACTTTAAATTTAAATCAAGACTATTTTTAATCTATTTTTTGACCAGTTTTCCAAAGTCTTTCTTCTGAAGACTCCACTCTGGAGCCATGCTTACATACAAGCTGTGCATTTAACATTTGCATAGATCGACTGTATTTCCAGCTGCAAATGAATTTGAATAATGATGAGTGTATTTTTGAGTACCAAAGCAGACTGCTGTGAAAATGGGTCAGAGTCTGAATGAGGTGCAGCAATCACAACTGTGGTAACTGGTGTAAGCAAAACAAAACAATAAATAAATAACATAAAATATCTAAATAGATATGAGTATATGTATTCAAGAGATATTATATATTACTGATGTTTTATTATACCATGGCCTTATAGTTCAAAACCTTGACATTCTATATAGTTTTATACATCATTTTATTTTAACTTTTTATTTTAATACCATTTGATGAAACTGTAATTGTACAACTTTTAAAAATGACAGATAATGTCAAATATTCAAGATTTAAATCTTGGTTTTGCAAACATGATTAAACAACTAAACTAAAGATTATTTACTATTTTAGTTTAACCATTAAGAAAAACATATTTGAAAAAATGAAAATAAAAAAAGGATCAATCCTGAAGGTGCAAGGACTTTTTTATTTTTGTTTTTTAGTAAGAAGGCGAATCTGTTTTGGTTTGTTTGATGTTTAGTTAGACTTAAATAAGCTGTGAATTCTCTACCTTTTTTTATATATAGAAAAAAAACAATTTCAAGGATTCTTCCACTGAGAACCACATATATAAAGAAACATTGTATAAGGAGGTGAACTGCAATCTGTATACAAGTAAAACTCAACCTGGAATCTTTTTGAGAGGTGCTGTTGATGCGAAAAGGTCAGAGGAGCTTTTCCTCTTCCGTGCGTTTGCGCGTTGTTCTCTAATTCTGTGTGTGATCACATGCTGAGACGCCATCTTCGTCTCTTCATTTCTCCCTCTCTGTCTCACACACTGCTCTTTTAATCAAAGAATTGTTCCCAGTCGTGTCTCAAACACTGCGGCTGGTCGGAAGGCGATGGGAATCACATCAGTGTGTTTGAGGCATGGCCTTTTCTGAAGGACCCCAAGGACGCAGAAGTCACAATAAAGTCTGTTCAGTCAATGTCAATTTTTGCTTCTCTGCATCATCATATGTCAAACAGAATCAAAGGACAGACACAGTTATTCACATACTGGCACTCACGGTGTATTCGGTAAGAATTATTTTTTTGTTTTGCATGCTTTTACACAGCAGACTTTCTCTTGCATAATCACCCCACGGTGCAGGTAGTACAGCCACAACCTAACAGCACACATAGACGAGCCTGCATGCAAAACCCACAACAGTTTCCGACATGTCATCGCATCGCCAGTCCCTCTGCAATCCAGAACAATCTGAAGCGCCACTGGAAAATTCAACTCAGAATTGCTCTGTGGTTTGCCCAGCTCAATGGAAAAAAAAAATGATTTCGAAATTTTTACAAATGCTTTTTTTTTGCGACAGCTGACAACCAGTCTCTAAGCTTTTTGGGATTTTTAGAAAAAAAAAAAAAGAAGGGTAAAAATCAGAGTTCTGAGATTCACCTAAAATTAGGGCCATGTCCCTACTCAATGCAAGAAAGATAAAACCATGCAGAATAACCTTTTTACTGGTTGGTGTTAGTATCATGAAATGCTAGTCAGTGGTCAACAATAAAACACATTTTTTATAAACTACAATTTAAGTTTAGTTTGTGATTTTACAAAGAGGAAAATGTTCTAATGAAGCCGAATTTTAACCAGGAAACAAAATGGAGTACAGCAATCAGCTATCAGTTTGTTTGAACGCCACACATTTTCTCCAATCAGGCCAGCCAGTGTTGTTTTTACTAAATAGAACATCGCCACTGCAACTCTCTGTCAGCTACTAATATCACTGTCACCTTTCAGCAGAGCGTAATTGTCTGAGAGCCGCCTGGGAGGACCCAGAAGATGCCAGGAGGTTCACATTTCTTAGCAACTGCACCAAATCTAAACAAAGAAATAAAAAGTTGACTAAAGTTGCAGCTAACAGAGGCATACATTGTACTTACAGCATTGTAAGTAGGACTTCAGGCCAAAGTGAAATGTGTCTTCATATTATGAGTGGTAACTCCCAAAAGTGGGTCATGCTCCCAGTTTTTGGTTGGTGCCACCATAGCAAGAGAGCAACATAATAAGCTTGAGTCCATAGGAGAAGCAAAATTTATTCAGTTTCTGTTCCAGGCTGAGATGGTTTAGAAAGCTGCCACAGTAGGAGATTTTCAAGCAGCCCCCTCCTGTGCTACTTCAAATACTGCAACCGTCAAATGGCTTGGCTTGGGATTCATTATATCACACAGGAGGATGGACCTCTATTCCTCATCGATATTCAAGTCAATTTAATCCAATTTTTCCACTGTCCTAATTCTTGTCGGCCCTTAATTATGAACTACTCCTCCTGGTTAAAGAACAAAAGAGGTCTGGAGAAAAAAAAACACATCTTTTTAGAAATGTCAAGCATGCGAAATTCAATGACAAAATGTGCTTCTTGTCTGAAATGTTTTTTTTTTTTTTACTTATGTTTGCATACTTTATTTGCAAACATGGATACAGTGCCATAAGCCAAATACATTAATTTTAAAATTATTGGGACAAATATTGCAGGGCATAATGTAGGGGAGTGTGTTAATGATTTTTTAAAGTTGTAGTTAGGAATGGTTTGTCAAAGAAGTTCAGAGGCCCGTTACATTTACAAGTCTTGGACAGTTTTGTCCTGTTTGGTTTTAATGTTAAAATTCGCTTTGCTCTCGTCTGAGCTGTGACTGAAAGCTGGGGTCAAACTTATTGTGTCTGGGTCACTTGCTTAAGTGATAAGTACACTGCAGGGCACTGCGCCCTCACAGTTTCTGTTCACCCTGGACACATCAGATGTCCACAACAATTCGGAGTCCTGTCATCTGTATAAATACTCTGATGAGCATGTTTGTAGGTGGTGACAGTGCTAGGTGGGAAACTGAGATCAAGAAATGGGCGGACAACGTTGTTGCAAGAGACGTCTTGATCAAGACTAAGGAG